TGATCTTTGATCTGTTTCATCAAATTTGCATCCTGTAAGGTAATGCCAACTCTTTGATCCATACGCCATCTCATTGTCAATTGATTATAATAAAACCAAGAATATTCAATATTTTCTTGTTTCAAATCTACTAAAGATTTAAGTTGCCAGTCTTGTCCTACCGGACGAAGTAATTCCTTATAGGAAACTTTATCCAAATGAACTCCCCTAGATATCCCCTCTATCACCTGTCCCGGAGTTGCCCAAATAGGAATTTTATAATTTAATTTATAATAATATTTCTTCCAAACTCTCAATAGAGCACTCCTTAAAATATGAACCTTGAAATTAGTATCTACCTTTTTATCATAAATTAAATATGCCTGCCAGCCAAATAACAAATCCCATCCTGATCCTACTCTTCTAATGTGATGTTTTTGTTAGGCTGAAGTTGAAAAGTGTGTTGCTTCAAATATTTTAAAGCCTTCACCCATTGCTGCAGATATGTTTAATCTGCACAGCTAACCACTTGTTGGTTTATGGCAAAATGCATGTTAGTGCATTAGAATGTTGAGGCAATGGGGGAAGACAATGGCTTCCTTGAATTTCAACAAAGGCTCTTAGAATGTGTATTACTGAGATAATGTTTCATTGTTGCCCAGGCTGCTGCTGAATCAGCATTCTTGGTGTCCAAGGCTGTCTGGCTGAGCCAGCAGTTGACTATATTTTCCTTCAAAAAGTCCATGCTGGGAGGGGTGAGCGTCTTTCAAGGAAAGAGGAACAACTGGGTGCCTTTTTTACAAGAGTGTTCCTTGTGTCTAATTGATTTATAGCCTAATTACCTCTTTGTTTGCTTAGTGAAAACATATTTAGATTGGGGCTTTTGGGTTGCTCACCAACACCCACCAGTTTTACTTAAACTCCTCTGTCCTACCTTTTCCCAGCGTGAGAAAAAGAAGCACAACATGGTCAGAGCACACAGCTGTTGTACCCAGAAAATTAATTCCTGTGTCTCCTTAAACAGATGAGAACCCCAGACAGCATGTTCCACTGGAGGAGTATGCTGACAATTTGAAAAGTATGATATGCTACCTCAACTCTGTGGACATTTCCAAACAGGACGTTATATTAGTGACTCCACCACCCGTTCACGAAGCTAGTTGGGAAAGAGAGTGTGTTGCTAAAGGTGAGGCATTCTCTTATTCCTATTTGAATAGTATTGGCAAATTTCCCTGCACGATTTATTTCATGTTCTACACAGTTAAGTTATACCAGGAATAGAATGTTTGGCCTAGCCTTTTTCCATCAGCTCTGCCAAATTTGTCCTACTAGCCTCTTTTTTTTGCAAAATTAAATGACTGTTGGTATGTTTTATTTATTCCCATCTTAAAATTAGAACCAAAGCATACAACTGTATGGAAATAGGTCTTTTTTTAAAAAAAGAAAAAAAAACGCGGTAGCTCAAAATCATCTGCAGTAAAGCTATAAGGGCAGAATTAGCTTCTAAACTTTACTGCGTGTGATATTGTGGTCAGCAGAAGGATTCTCTGTACCCAACAGTGGTTCTGCACTATCCATATACCTACACTCAAGTCTTGTCTGTTTTGATAGCTCTTGCTAGGAAAAAGAAAAATGGGTACCAGATCTAATTTGGTTAGCAAACTGTTTTCAGTTGCGACAATGAAAAAAATAACTTTATGACCAATCCTCACATTTATGACCTTCACAAATCAAGAAAGCAAGGGAATGCTGAAGCAACTTCGTAGTCCCACTTAGCAACCGCTTAGCTTGACAACCAAGTTGCCCATTCCAATTGCAGTTTTAAAACAAGGACTACCTGTATAGTGTTAAAGCGCAGTGAGGGCAGTGAGTTGCATCATCTGGATCCATTTGTGATTCACGTTTGTTACTCAAAAAGCAAAACCTGAACTAAGCTTTTATGTTTGATGTATTTTTTCCCCCTAATTCTCAACAGGTGACAAATTAAATCGTCTAAATTCCGTCACTGGGAGATATGCAAAGGCTTGTGTTAAAGTAGCTGAAGAATGTGGCTCTGATGTCATTGACCTGTGGACACTTATGCAAAAAGGAGACCAGGTATGATTTCTGAGATTGTCATTGCGGAGTGTGTGCAGCAAGGTGAAGCTAATTTCCTTAACTGGGTGCAAAGTCTCTCTTAGAAGCTCATCCCGTTCTATTTTGCAGACTGGCAGTTTAGTTGAACAATGATTAATTCAGGTAGTCCTCGGCTTACAAAAGTTCATTGAGTGACTGTTCAAATTTACAACAGCATTAAAAGAATGACTTATGACCGTTTTTCACACTTATGACCTTTGTAGCATCCCCATGGTTACGTGATCAAAATTCAGATGCTTGGCAACCGACTCGTATTTATGACAGTTGCAGCGTCCTGGGGTCATGTGATCGCTTTTTGCAACCTGACAAGCAAAGTCAATAGAGAAAACAGGATTTACTTAATTGTGTTGAACAACTGCAGTGATTTATTTAAAAACTGTGGCAAGAAAGGTTGTAAAATGGGGCAAAATTCATTTAACAAATGTCTTAGGAACAGAAACTTTGGGTTCAGTTGTGGTCATAGGTTGAAGACTGCCTATATCCGTGGTGGCAAACCTATGGCACGGGTGCCAGAGGTGGCACTCAGAGCCCTCTCTGTAGGCACGCGCACCGTCGCCCCAGTCCTAGGCCTTCAGCTGGGTTTTATTAAACCTTTTCGCTTTAGGCCTCCACCGCCGTGAGCAAAAAAAAGGTTCAATCAATCAGTCAATTTCAAGTTCTTGCGGGAAAAAAAAACTTGCAAAGTTGGAATTGATTGATTGAAGTTTTTAGTCCCGCCCAGTGTGTTGTTACCACCGCAGCCACACCTACCCAATGGGCCACACCCAGCCAATGGGCCACACCCACCTGGCACCCGACGATGCATAAGTGGGTTTTGGGTTGCAGTTTGGGCACTCGGTCTCTAAAAGGTTCACCATCACTGGCCTATATTTTCTGGCTTAAGTTTCTTTCTGTAAAGTCATCTGAACAATTTACAACATTTTATATTTTTATGAAATCTCTGGTTTTAGGACTTCTCCTGTTACCTGGCAGATGGAATCCATTTATCAGAAAAAGGAAATACTTTTCTAGCAAACCAGCTTTGGACACTCCTAGAAAAGAAAGTGTCAACCCTTCCTCAGTTGTTTTCCTGCTGGCGTGATGTAGATCCTCTCTACCCTGAAGCCAGCCTCCTGGGCACCCCCACTGCTAAGAAGTAGTAAAAAGAGTAACATCCATAAGTTTTGTAGATACAAAATAAAATTACCTTTTTTTCACAATCAGTGAGATTAATTCTTAAGAGTATTCTGATATGAACTTGCATTCCCAATTATTAGGCCTCTATAAATATTCATGCATCACTGCTGAGTTTTCTAATTATGCAGTTAGTTACTGGCATAAGTAGGGCAATTACCTGTTAAAAATTGTATGCAGAAGAACATTGTCAACACAAGCAAGAAACAGAAAACAAGCCTTGATGGATTAGACAGTCCCACATTGCTACATAACTTTATACTTCAGGGCTGGGTGTCTAACTTGGGTTGGTTGGAAGGATCATCAGGTTATTGATAGCATGTTGGGGGCTGCACTCCAAAAGACTATTGGCTTAAGGCAGGGGTCCCCAACCCCCAGTCAGTGGATCAGCAACAGGCCACAGCATGCCAGCAACTGGTCCATACAAAAAAGCAAAGCTTCATCCATGCGATGCAGGCAGCACACAAAACCACACACCCTCCGGTCCATGGAAAAACCATGTCAATGCTGCTATAACATTGGATGTTCTTGCTTTGACAACAGATGGAGATGCAGCTTTTTTTTGTCTTTTACTGTACTCTTAGATGATACTGGGGTAGGGAAAGGAATGTGATGGGAGTTAGTTAGACATACAATATTGTAACCAGCTGGTAAAGCATCCAGCATTTCAAACTAATTGGAGAATGTGATTTATGACTGTTAGTTGTAGGAGGGAATTGTGCTTTGATCTATGTGTTGAAGGGAGGGGAAGTCAGATTTTGGCTTCAACTACGTGCCTGCCGAACCTATGCTGCTCGATTAAAAATTCTTTAAGGTAAACAATGCCTCAAAGTTCTTAAAAGAGTTTCATCTTTCGGAACCATGACACCTCTCTCCACGGAACCGGTCCCTGGTGCCCAAAAGGTTGGGGACCTCTGGCTTAAGGGTTAAGACTATTTCAGGAGGGATCTTAAAGGGGGAATGCTGGCCATACCCTCTGGATTTTCCAAAATGCAAAAGGGGGAAAAAAAAGGCTACATTTGATATCCTCAACCCTAGAATTGACATTCAGGGATTGACGTTCACTTTTAGATGATTTCACTCTTGCCCTAAGAAATCTTTCTCCTCTGGCAATAGCAAATTGGTTAAATTACCCACGATCATGCATACAGTCAGCGGTCAAGTAGTTTATTTAGACAGGTTGGCAAATGTTAATGATTTCTGTAATGGACGTTAGCAGTCAGGATTCTGTATTGGAGATAATTGAGTCATGTGGCACAGGTATTAAAATACATGTTAAAAGAATGAGGGGCAATAGTTAATGCAAACAATATCGATAATAATCGTAATTCAAGACTCTGTATAATTCTGAATCAAGCTTGACCAGATCTTGAGAATGTGGGTGGTGATATATACTTCTGACGGAGACAATTAACAATTTGAATGAGATAATAGCAAAGATTGTCTTCAGGCACTTCAGAGAAAGTAATGAAGAAGTCCTGCTAAGAGAAGTCTTAGGGGAAAAAAAAATCAAATGTTTTAGAGATGCAATATTCTGATTGCAGAGGGAAGCAGGGACACAATAGAGGGCAAGAGCTGTTCAGATAATTGTGATAAACACACTGAGCCACAATGTCTAGAGGGCCAAAAACAATGTTTTTGGAAAAAGCTAAGGTATTTACATGTAAGCAACCTAAGCTGATATTATATAGCGTTGATTTTGGTAAACAAGAACCACATTTATAATGATACAAGCAAAAAGTCTTTTGGCTGTTTAGTCTTTGCCGATATGGGTGCTTAGTCTAAAAAAATTGCAATTTCAATCAGCAGCTTGCATTTGCTAGTTGGAAGTGGGCAGGCAGCTCTTTGGAAATGCACCAGAGCTGCCAAAAGAAGGCAGTTTAAATGCAAGGGCCCAAACCAGAATGCAGCAAAATGTGCTTTGTGCAATTTCCTTTTATCAACTTCTGCTTCAAGTGTGACATGGCTATTTCAAGCTTCCTCCTTAGATATTCTACAGGGCAGTAATTACCTTACTGATGACTTCCATTGTCTGATTTCTATGGTACTTACCTTGCTAAAATAATCTGATTCCTTTTTATCCAGTGTTCAGCAGTTGACAATACCATATTAAGACGAGCTGAACAGTTTAAGAACAAGCATTCATGTTCTACTTTGATTGCTGCCATTGTGCCAATTATCAGTTACAGCCATGTCTTCCATGTACAATTGAAAATATAAGGGCAAAACAAATATTTTAGACTACTCGTCAGTCTACAAGCATCCCGCAAAGCTGTTTCCAGAACGCAAGATGATGGAGTAGACAACTGCAGCATTTAATTGCCTTGGTTATTGTGACACACATCGAAGTACAATGTTTAACAGATGACTGAAGCTTTTAAATTATCACAGAAAAAGGTGGACTTTCGTATTCACAATGAATGCCAAGATGCATCTGATGAGGAACTTTTATAAATCACCCTTGATACAAGCTTAACTTGCAACCCCATGGATACAAGCATGCAAGTAGCTTTGCAATGATATGGAAAGTGATTTCTTCCTGCTAGAATGTTTTTGGAATGTCTAATCTAGCCCACAGTTTAGGGTTTCTTGCTAAATCTGCCATCCAGGTACTAACCAGGCCTGATCTTAGCTTTAGGAGCCCAACAAGGATTGACTTTTTTTTTTATTATTATTATTATTATTATTATTATTATTATTATTATTATTATTATTATTATTATATTACTACTACTACTACTACTACTACTACTATTACTACTACTAGCTGTACCCGGCCATGCGTTGCTGTGGCTCAGTCTGGTTAAATGGAAAAGAAAGAAAAGAGTTTTTACCTGTCACAGGTGTGACATCTATATAATAGTAGGTATATAAAAACACACGCTTATTCGAATGCAACGTTGTGTCAAAATTTCAAAGCAATCGGTGAAGAACTTTCGGAGATTTAAGATTTTGAACAAACGAACATTTACATTTTTATATAGATTATGTTGTTATTGATGATGATGATGATGATGATGATGATGATGATGATGATGATGATGATGATAATAATAATAATAATAATAATAATAATAATAATAATAATAATAATAATAATAATAATAGAGTTGGAAGGAACCTTGGAGGTCATCTAGTCCAACCCCCTGCTCAGGCAGGAAACCCTATACCATTTCAGACAAATGGCTGCCCAGTCTCTTCTTAAAAACTTCCAGTGTTGGAGCATTCACCGCTTCTGGAGGCAGGTTGTTCCACTGATTAATTGTTCTGTCAGGAAGTTTCTCCTTAGTTCTAGGTTGCTTCTCTCCTTGATCAGTTTCCACCCGTTGCTTCTCGTCCTGCCTTCAGGCGCCTTGGAGAATAGCTTGACTCCCTCTTCTTTGTGGCAACCCCTGAGATATTGGAACACTGCTATCATGTCCCCCCTCGTCCTTCTCTTCGTTAAACTCCGGGACATGAAAAATCTGAAGCTTCAATTAACACCAACTAGTTTTAATATTTCAATATATTTTAGAAAATCATTTTATTACATGGCAATGGGAACTCTTTACTCTTCATAGAAAGGTTATTTTACAGCTGGGTGTGAAATCTAAAAATTAACAGAATATCGGTAAAAAATACCTTAGAGACACAAATTCAAGTAGTGCAACAAATATCCATGAAAAATGTACAGGTGTATTAGTCCTCTTTAGATGCTACAGAATACAAATTTTTCATCATTTTTTTCTGGCATTTGGACCAGCTCCCAAGCTGTTGTATTTTATATAAAGCATAACTTAGGACATGATTAGATGAGCAATTAGAAATAATGCTACCCTTTTAATCGTGACCCAATTGCTTCTATAGGCACTGCCTACTGCTGAGACCAGATCCCTAAAAGTAAAGAGCTGTGCTCTTTCTGCTTTTGCTCTCTTAGCAAAAGGCATGGAGAAAGGCAGCAATTGGCACTTGACAGAGATCAGGACCGAGATAAGCCAGGCTAGTGGCAGAACAAGATGCTCTTTTTTTCCTCATTGTATCCACGATTGTTGTTTCCTCACAGAAGCAGATCAGCCATAAAAATGCAACATGAAATACGCTACAGCAGATGCCCTGGATACTGTACACTGACGTGGTTTGAAATACAGTTTTATGAAGTCTCCTTTCTAGGCTTATATTCCTTCCTCGCAAAGTGAAAGAAGTGAAATGATAATTACACATTTAAGCTATTCGTTTTGGATCAGAAATTAACATTCAGCACGCTATGTGCATATAAATGTGAAAATCAATGAAAACATTGCTTCTATCTCAACTGGATTTTGATTATCTTCCTGTTGGGTTCTGATCAGAACTGCCTAATTAAAGCCACACGATTATTTTATTCCGAAAACATTCTCGGATTCCCAGATTTGCACTGAAGTCATTAGCTGCTATGATATTCCCTTCCTATTTAGCTGAAATCTGTGCCTTTCCTAAATATCAATTAAATTGAAATGTTCCTTTCATCTTTCATTTTAAAAAAATACTGTTCAGTGGCATTCCTGACTTCTCTAGTAAAAGAAGACTTCATTTATTTGGAAGAATTGTATTCTGGAGGGAAAAAAGAAATCTCTTTTAGCAGTGCTTGTTTAATACCAAGAAGGCACATTATAAAAATACTAAGATACACAAATCCTGGGTCAGAGAGATTATGGCTTGATTCTATCAACTGAAGGGTATGTTCAATTTGAGAATACAGAAAAAAGTCAGCAAGACTCAATATATCTGACCTCACATTTTATGCTTTTAGGTAATACTCGTTCATACTGACATCAGGAAGATCACACATATGGCCAGCATCTGCAGTTGGTCACTTCCTTGCTTTTTTCTCAGTATACATACCTATGCATATGCATGTACAAATGCATACACACAGACACACACAAACACACGGAGGCAGGGAATATAATGAAATGGCTTTAGATCAACTAGCTGAACCTGATGTTGTGCAGAAGAATCAGCAGCTGAGAAGGCAGAGACTAGCACTCGG